CCTGCCTGGGGAGTTCCCTTTGGGCGAGCGGGGGCACCGGGCTACGCTGAGGGCTCCCCCCCTCCTCCCCGGGGGCTCAGCTGTGGCTCTCCACGCTGCTCTGCGGAGTGGAGGCTGTGCTTTAGTATCAGTGCTGGTTTCTAACCTACTTGGCTGTTGTTAAGCATCCAGCTGCGTCAGTAGTAGTAACAACAAGGTTACTTTATTTATCTAGGGCATACCTAGAGCTATTGTGGTTCGTGTTTCTTAACTCGTTCATAAGGAAAAAAGTGCGGGAAAAAAGCCATTTCTCTGTGGTGGTATGTTGTAATTTGTGTTTAGGCACCTCAGATGTGCTTTGGCAGCATTACGGCAAGATTTTGAATTTCACAGATGAAGTTGCTGAAAACTTCACTTAAGAGATGAAGGTAAAGTTACTGTGATAAAAAAGCTAACGATTGTGAAACAAAAATAACTGTAGAAGTGCATAGAGAAATCACGGTAAGGTTTTTTTTGGAGGGTGACTGACTTCTATTGATGACTTCTGTTAAATGATTTAAATTATTTTTATTACGCGATTTTAAATGATGTCATTTTAATGCTGATCCTTAGCGGAGGAGATGCAGATGTGAGAGACAAGCCATTTTTCCCTGTGAGGAAGGGCTGTGATGAAGTTGCCTCTTAGGGGTCCATTCTGCAAACCTTCCTGTGCAGATACGAGGCCTGGCTCACACTGTTTGTACCTGGAGTGGACAGAGCTCATGTAACTTGTACGTTAGTCGCTTCAGTACTTCACGCGGTTCCTTGCGGACTGTGTTTCACCCAGCTGGAAACTTCCTCTGGAGGATGAACCAGTGACTTGTGTCTTTAAAAGGGTATGAAACCCAGCTGGGTGTGTTGGTTGGCCTGCATGCCCTCGCAGGGGGAAGAGTTACAGATGAGACTGTGATTTGCTGTGTTCTGTGTAAGATTATAGTCAGGTCAGAGACTATAATATAAAATTGTTATGTTTAGTTTTGGTAGTTTAGAAAGCATACCTAGCTGAGAAATGTGTCTAACGTTTCTATGTATCCCTCTCTTCATTACGAGCTTTGGGGGAAGGCAGAGAAGACTTGACAACCATTTATAAGAAACAAGCTTCACAAAGAGCGTCTTCCATCCCTTATATGTTTTTTCTCTGCTTTTCGTTCATGTTTGCTATAAAACTAGGTTTGTTGCAATCCAGAGCAGGTGTATTGTTTTGGTTTGGTGTATTGTCCAGCTTTCTTGTGTAGCTAAAAGAAGCACTCTGATCCAAGAAACCATCTTCCTGTTTTCCCTTATGTCTTACGCTTCTTGATTGGAAACATTTTCAGGTTTTCTTACAGCTCTGTGCTGAATAACCATTTCTTCTTGTTTCCCCAGAATTAAAAGGAATATGCTTCTGTTTCTCCCTTGTCCAACATCTGAAGGGGTTTTAGTTCTCAGAAGGCACAGAGCTCTAAGTTCACCTCTTCACTCATTTAAGTAGTTTTTAAAATTTTTATAGCTCCTGGACTGGAGGATGTTGCCTACAGTAAATATACTGGTCTTGGATCAAGAAGCTGTAAGCTTTCTGTGTCAAGGAGTGCTTACAGGCCAAACATACAATCAGGAACGGTGTGAGGTCAGTTTGTGGTTGCTGTATCCAGGATAACATCTGCATCCTGACTCTCAGAGTCAGTACGTGCATTGAAACACCTCGTGTGCTGTCGTGAAGTTGGCGTGCAATGTAAGTAGCTTGCTGTGTATCAACAGGGATTCTGATGATTCAGCCAAGAAATGCTTCAGTGGTAAGAGGATGGAAACTTTGCCCAAGAGTTAAGAAAATAGGATTGATTGGTCTCTGAGGAGGCTTCTACTCAATTGAAGTCACGCAAGCAAGAACAGCACGTTCTTTTAACAGCCTCTGTGAGCTCTTAGGATTTCTTTGAGAACGTACCATGTAATTCCTAGCTTCTATACTAGCACACAGTAGGTAATAATAAGATGGTTAATTTAACGTTTTTTGAACAGTAATGTCCGCTTGTGCACCATGGAGTATCTTGAACTTCTCTTATTTTTATTAAGGTGAAAAATTGATAGGAAGAGACAAGCCAATGACTTTGAGAGGTTGCAGTGGAAGTGAGTTGTGTGGATAACTTTTAAGGCGGAGGACTTAAGTGTTTGTACCATGGAATTAGAAAAGAACAGCGATGTTAAAAGCAAAAGGAGATGCTTCAATCAGACTTCACATCTTTTTTCTTATTCTGAGGAAGCTGAGCACATGCTCGTCAGAGACATTGCAGCAGGAGCTAACCACTTGGGTTTTGGCCAGGCATGTTCTGTCAATGTTTCAGAATTGAAGTTGTCAGAGGAAAGCTTACCTTATTTAAGTTCATCTTTAGATGCAGATATTGAAATGTACAATAAAAAGAGAATGGGAATTTGCTGTGCACAGGTAGATGAAAGCAAGAAAGAAGCTGATCTGTTGGGAAGGGCATCTGACAATATGCACTTTAATTGCGGGGTGTGTGATGATTGCAGACAAAGCCATTTAGGTGAAGATTCACAGCTGGAGTATCTCAGTGCTAATGAGCAAGATTTTGATGATAGGAATAGCTCAAGAGAGTTTTCTGAGCAAAGGGAAACTATGGGGATCGAAACGTTAAAGCTGATAGATCCAGTTCATGAAGTTCCAGGGGGTGTAGCTGCAAAGGAACAAAATCTCGTTGACGTGTCGGAAGATTATTCTCCTGCATCTGAGTGTGACGTAGGTGACCGGACCTGCCCAGAAGCAGCTACACCAGAGCTTCCCCACCTGCTTCAGGACTCTCTGTCTCTGCCAGATTGCAATGGCGTGACTTGTGATCATCAGGAAGTGCAAACAGAGTATCATAGTGTTGTTTGTGGAAGCATACTTGAAAGTTGTACTTGTGGGAGTAAAGAAAGGGTCTGTCCAAATCTGCTTGTTCGTGACAGTTTAGAAAATGGAGAGGTGAAAGACATCCCACTGATTGACGGCACGCTGCCACCCCGAACGGCTGCAAGTGAAGTGTCTGAAAACAATGACAGACACATTCACAGCAACTCGGTGAAGCAAGACAGTCCTTTACTGTCACCACAGGAGAGGGCCCCTGCAGTAGCCACGCGATTTTGCAAACGTGCAGGGGACTCCGATTTCTACAGTTGCGAAGAATCTGGTGTGTGCGCACGTGGTGCCAGCTGCATTGACTGCACTGCAAAGGATGCTGAAACCCAATTTCCAGTCTCTGCAATTCTCACTAGCGAGAATCCCTTTTTTGAGGTGGAAGTTGCAGATAAATCCTCCCGTGGAAATACCAGCTGTCTAAACTCGGAGTTGGAACATCGTGACAACTTGAAAAACATTACCAGTGACTCTACGGTTAACCAGGCTGTTGATGTGTGCTCTGATTTTAGAGCTTGCTTTACAACAAGCAGAAGTACCAGTGCTCAGGTTTGTCTCTCGTCCAGGGCTATTAATACAGAGATAACAATGATGAACAAATCTCGACCCGTGGGATGGCGCCGTGAAACCTGTGCAGACGTTGCTTGCAATACAGACTGGTCATGTGGAGCTGGTAGTGCAGTGCAAATTCGGCCACAGCTTACTGAGATGCTGGAAAAACACTCAGATGGCAATACTGCAACAGCTGAAAGAAGCTCACAAATTCAGGTAACTGAAAAAAAAAAACAAAAACCCACAGCCAAACGATTTTGATATATAGACCTTTT